CCCCGGGGAGCTCCCGCCACACTTCAGCTGGAAGGACTGAGGTCCTGAGCAGAGATTCCAGCACCGAGGATCCCGGAGAGCAAGCAGGTCCTTACGTCACTGTGATCAGATGGCGGGCTGCGGCCAGCACTGGCCTTGCCCCAGCGGTAGCGCACTGCCCACTCTGCCCACACGGTCTCCATGCCCTCGGGACTACAGGCACACACGTGTCCTGCAGTACAGTGGCCCTACAGACTGTCTGGGTCTTTTGCATTTCACTCAGGAATTCACCACAGCCTTCTGAGCTACGCCTGAGCTCATGGTTAACAGGTGGCCCCAGGAGGGGAGGCCCTGGGGAAGTATGGGGTGGGGCTGATGGACCCCAGAGCCCACCACGTGACCACAAGGCCGAACTGGTGACCCCAGTCTGGTAGGGCAGGAGAACTGAGCACTGGGTTCATCACTGGTAGAGGGCCACCTGGTCCACTGGGCCTTATGGAATGACACCTCATACAGAAGTCTTGCACGATGGCTCCCTGGTTGGTGAACACAGGGATGTGCTGGGCAGTGGCGTGTCCAGAGGCTGGCATGGAGGCCCTGCCCCCACACCCGCTCCATCACACCCCTGGCTGATGACACACTCGTTTCCCTCGGCTGACCCTTAAGCAGTCTCCTTAACCATAAAGCAAGCAGCTGGAGTTATCCCCGGGAACTGTCAGATCCGAGGAGGAAACTGTTGCATGGTCGGTGGCTGCAGCTGTGGTCTGAGCAAATTCCCTCTGGTTCACATGATGGGAGCTAAACCCTCAAATTCACAGGATGGATGATCGCGTCTGGAAGGGGCCTTTGGGAAGGAATAAAGATGGGGTGATGAGGGTGGGGACCCCAAGATGACATTACTGGCTCCATTAGAAGAGGGTGTGAGACCGCAGCTAGCAGCTGGCTCAGTCTCACCATAGGATGCCTCCAGCCACAACAGGCCACACCCTGCTTCTGCCTCATGCCAATCCCCGACATCAATGCCACACCCCCTGTTGCCAGTGTTGTGCCCCTCCCATTGGTGCCACACCCCTTGCCTCGGGTGCTACATCCCTGGCATCAGTGCCACCACCCCTGACATCTGTGCCATGCCCTACCATGCCAACACCACACCCTGAGACATGAAGCATATGAACTTGTATTCTTTACAAACGACCTGGTCTCGGGCATTTCGTTATAACAACAGCAACCAGACTAAGACATCTGGCAGATGAGCAGGTAGCCTGGGCAACCCTCTCCCATTTGTGGCAGGCATCTGAAGGAGGGACAGCTTTGTGGAACCGAGCCCTGAACTTGCAAGGCATCCAACTGTGGGAAATCTGGCGCATGTCAGGCAACTGGAGCATTGAGGCTGGAACAATGCAGTTGGTGTAAGAAAATAAAAAACAAAACCCTACTGCTACAGTGGCCATGTCTTTGTCCACAAGGATGAACCCAAGCTGCCACCTGCATGACCCTTTGGAAAGAAGAGACCTGGCCTCTCCAGGAAGGACCACATGCAGACACACAGCAGTCCTGACCCATCAGTCACCCCTCTGCGTGCCGGGGTGTCATTTTCTCACCCTCAGTGGCAGGCCTCCTGCTCCACATGGTGTGGCTGGGAGAGGGTCAGGAGATTTGAAACAAAACAAAACAAACAAACAAACAAAAAAAAACAAAAAAAACTTGTGCCCGTTCAACAGATGAGGAAACTGAGGCCAGGGGTAGCAGAGCAGAGAGCCCCAGTCGCCAGTCCTCCCCTCCCAGCCAGAGGCTGCCCACATACGCTGAGCCCCACCCCAAGCAGTTTGTTCTGTTCTGCCTTGTGTGCGGGCAGCGGGAGGGAACCCCAGGAAAGGCTGCATCCCCCTTGGCTTCTCCTGCCCCTGTTTCCCTGTGCTCCCATGGGCTCCCTGTCACAGGAAATAGCAAGCAACCACCACCAATCAAATGTCGCGGGCGCTCAGCTCTGGGGCGGTCACACAGTCACCTCTATGCATGCAAACCCCACAGGTGCACAGGAGGCTCTGAGCCGGGAGTCTGGCCTCACCCACTGGCGAGCGAAGATCCAGGAAATGAGGAAACTGAGTGGGAATGAAAGACAAAGATGGCGCTGGGGAGGGATGGGAGGAAGTACAAAACTGTTGAGACTGCCTCAAGGTTAAAGTTGCCTTTAAGAGCATACAGACAGGGTCTGTAGGAAAGTGGGCAAGCCACGAGGTGGGCTCAGAGCTGGAACCACAGGGGCTCTGCGCGTGCGCTAAACAGCACCCTCCCCCTGTCCCACCCTCCTGTGGGATCCAGGGCATCTCAAAAGAACCTTGAGTGCAGCCTCAAGTCCACGGCACTGGGGTTTCCTGGCCCTTCTGTCAGCTCCTTTGCCATCAGCCAGATCCCAGACACCCCTTCAGCACTCAGGGGCGTTTCCTCAAAGGCGAGGAGGGCAGGTCTCAGGAATCTCATTGAGAATTGGGTCCCTAGAATGCTGAGCTGGACACCCTGGCCAGGGAGGCTGTGGCTTTGCTCCTGGGACAGCCCCTCTTGGCTCTGAAGTCCCCATCATTCCAAACCCAGAAAGGCAGAGCCCGGGGGGCGGGGGTGGGCAGCAGCAGACCCAGCCTGGGCTCCAATCAGTCAGCTATGTGCTGCAGCTGCTCTGCCCCAGGTCTGCCCTGCCCACATGGGGGCCCCCACCACCAACCCCACTCCTCCCATCTCCCCAGGGACTCATTTCCTGTGCTGGCCAGATTCCTGTCCAGCTGGAAGAAAGAAGAGGGGGGCGAAGAAAAGAGGGGGGAGGTGGAATCCCCTGCTTGAGTTCAACCTAGCATCTGTATCGTTGGATCTTCCCAATATGCAAGGCCAAGGTCAGCTGAGGCATAGAAGCATGCCAGGAAGCAGCCAGCCAGGAGCCCAGCTGCCCTGTCCCTGACCCTGCCACAACGTTGGGTGGGATCTCCCACAAGATCACAGGTCCCAGGCAGCTGAGAGCAAACAGAACCCTGGTTCAGGGACCTGCACTGGTGGAACGTGACCCTAAGGACCCACCTGTGATGCGAAGAAACACCTGTTCCTTAGAGCCAGTCCCTGCAATCAGCCTTAGCCCAAACCACTAAGGACCAGGTGCACAGCCCGCTGGCGCCCGCAGAGAACCCTCACTAAGGGACCTTCGAGAGGGACCAAGACGATCATGCTCCACCACCTTCCACAACCTCACTGTCAGTCAAAACAAACCCAATTGGGCTAATTCTGGGGACTCAGAAGCCTCGATATGGCCAGTATATGTCCTTTGATTGGACAGTTCCGCATAGGAGTTTATCCTATGAAATGATATAGCAGATAAAGCCACTGCCTGTGGTGCTGGCATCCCTTCTAGGTGCCGGTTCATGGCTCAGCTGTTCCACTTCTGATCCTGCTAACCTGGGAAGGAAACAGATAGTGGTCCAAGTAGTAGGATCCTGCCACTCCCATGAGGGACCACAATGAGGTTCCTGGCTCCTGGCTTCAGCCTGGCTCAGTACTGGCTATAGCAGCCACTCAGGAGGTGAACTGGTGGACAACAGATCTCTCCCTGCCTCCCCCCCCCCCCATTCTGCATTTCAAATTGATAAACAAGTAAATCTTTTAAAGAAGATAGCTAGATAATTTTTTTTTCTTTCACTTCTTCAAAAGACAACCTATTTGATACAAAAAAAAAATATGACACTGAATTGCGAAGTTCACAACCTATTTAGATTTAAGATCTATGGCAACAGACACGGGACAGAATGGAGGCGGGGATAAATGGAGTTATATTATTGAAAGTTCCTTCCATCTGACATGGAATCGTTCCATATATGGGCTAAGTTTATGATAAGCTAAGAACGCATGCTGTAATTCCTAGAACAACTCATAAATAATACAGTGAAGGAGCACCAAAAAAAAAAGCTAATGAGGAAAAACACACATTTCTGCTTCCAGTCAAGCTATCCTCACTCACTCCTAAACGTGTCCTCCTGCCATCCACAGCCAGAAACGAGGACAAAAGGGAGCAAACGCACATTTGCAGATGGTGGCTGTGAGGTGATGGAGAACGGGGATCTCGCTGACTCCCACTCAGCCCAGGAAGTCTGCCTCATCCTGATGAGCGGATGGGCAACCAAGATGGAGGGAGCTTTATCAGAACGTCTTTCTTCAGATGAGATGCCAAGGAGTAGCCCTGCTCGGCTCAGCAGGGTGGGCCCAGAGACCACTGGCACCTGCACCAGCCCTGGAGGTCAGGCTCTCCTGGGCAGCTGGGACTGCCCTTCACGGAACCTTGTTGCACCTGCTGGACATGAGTGGCTGTGCTGTACCCATTCAGTCTGTGAAGAGTATCCAAAACAGGCAGCCAGAGCAACAGGTGCTAGGGTAAACTTGTACTGTCATGGCTGGACACTAAGAAAGTCCACAATGCGCCCAATGAGCCCAGGAGGCGGCCTGCACAGGTGGGTGGGTGATGTTTACTTGTACCATCTAGCTCAACCTCTGCCTGCCCTGGCCATGGAGCAAACCCCTTTCTTCCAAGCTCCGCCAGACCACTGCAAATGAGGACCCCAGGCAAGACAGCCAGCCCCATCTCAAGCAGCCAGCCCAGCGGCCTGGGTCAGACAGGAAGTAGTGCAGCCACAAAGCACATGTGGGGATGAGGCAGTAGCCCCCAGGACTAGGGGCCCAGGAGCCAGAGGCATCCAGAGACTCGACCCACACCCAGCCGGAGCTGGCGCACCTGCAGCTGTATCCTAGTAGGGAGAGAACCTTCACTCCCCCTGTAACCACGCCCCACCAGCTCCTGGCATAGCTGCAGCCACATCCCATCAGGGGAGACTGCTCTCCCTGCAGCTGTGCCCCACCAAGAACTCACTCCCTTTGCAGCCATGCCCCGTGGAGGCATACCTGCAGCCACACCAACCTGGTGCCGGGGCACCCGAAGCCACGCCCAGCCAGCGCGTCAGGCACCTGCAGTCACGCCCAGACAGACTCACCCTCTTCGCAGTTGCTCCCCGTAAACCCAGGGCAGCACTTCCACTCCAGCGCTGTCACTGTGCGGTAAGACACTCGGTACGTAGGCCTGATGAGGGTCCTGTAACTAACAGGAGGACAGCGTCAGCAAGGTGCCCGCTTCCCTCTCCTCCACCCCGCTTCCAGAGACCACCCAGGCTGCTCTGCCTACCCAGCCCCATGGGACGCTGCTCTACTTCCTGGCTGTGTGGTCCCAGCCGAGTCACCTCCCCCATCTGCGTGAACAGCAAAAGGTCTTCCTGGCCCCGCCTTTCCACAACTGTGTGTGTGTGGGGGGGGGGGGGGCAGGGAAGATGTTACACCTGACTACACAGGAATATGAAAACACTTGGGATGCATGCCAGGCTGAAGCTATGCCTGTGGCAGCCACGCCAACCTCTCCCCCAGCCAGCTTTTCTTCCTGCTGATTTGTCAATGAATTTATGTCCAGCCCCCAGTTGCACCCTGCCTACAGTGGTGGTCATGGACTCAAAACCAAATCCCCCAGGCCCAGCGCAGTAACCTAGCAGCTAAAGTCCTCGCCTTGAACACGCCGGGATCCCATATGAGTGCTGATTCTAATCCCAGCAGCCCTGCTTCCCATCCAGCTCCTTGTTTGTGGCCTGGAAAGACAGACCAAAGCCTTGGGACCCTGCATCGATCCGCGGAAGAGGCTCCTGGCTCCTGGCGTCGGATCGATGTAGTTCTGGGTTATGGCCGCTTGGGGAGTGTATCAGGATATGGACGATCTCCCTCTCTTTCTCTCCTCCTCTCTGTATACTGGCTTTCCAATAAAGAAAAATCTTAAAAATAAAAAAAAATCCCAGCCTTGAGAACTCGGACTACAGGCATGGAACTGTCGCAGCAAGCAGACAGCTCCAGCATAAGGCTGGGGTGGCACTGTGGGTTAAGCTGCCCACTGGCCCATCACCATGCCAGCATTCCATACCCTACCTCAGGCTGGAGTTCCAGCTGCTCTGCTTTCCATCCAGTTTCCTGCTAATGCAATGGTAGATGGTCCGGGTGGTACTTGGACTCCTGCCATTCATATGGGAGACTCGGATGCAGTTCCTAGCTCCTGACTTTGGCCTGGCACAGCCCTGGCTCTGGAGGCCATTTGGGGAGTGAACCAGCAGATGGAAGATCAATCAATTCAAGAGTATCTTGTGATGCTTCCAGGACAGTGAAAACAAAACATGGGACCAAGTGCCACAGAAGGACTTCATGGAATCCTGTCGCTTGAAGATAGAGGTCATCTCCTTTGCAAATAGAACTCTCGGCCTCATAAACATTTCCTCTGCTGCCTACGGGCAACATGAAGGGTGCATGGAGAGTGACGACCCCACTGGGGCACACCCCAGTGTGACACCTGGAGACCCACATACACCATTGACCAAAACACATGAGCCAGCAAGTGGATTTCTGAAATTTGGAAGCAGAACAATCCCATCACACCGATTTCTTATTTTTTAAAAAGATTTATTTATTTTTATTGGAAAGGCAGATTTACACAGCAAAGGAGAAAGACATCTTCCATTTTGCTGGTTCCACTTCCCAAATGGCTGCAATGGCTGGGGCTGAGTTAATCCAAAACTAGGAGCCAGGAGCTTCTTTTGGGTCTCCCACATGGGTGCAAGGTTTCAAGGCCCTGGGCCATCCCCTCTTTATTTCCCAGGTCATAATGCAGAGAGCTGGATAGAAAGTAGAGTAGCTGGGACATGAACCTGTGCCCATACAGGATCCCGGTGCATACAAGGCAAGGACTTAGCCACTGAGACATTGTGCCAGGTACACCAGAACAGTTTTCCTCCCACCACCTGCAGCAGGAACCCGGATCCAGGGGGAGATCTCATTCCCCTTCCTGGAAAAGGTGAGGTGGGGTTCTCTCTACCACCAGTGCACCCCTGTTCTGAGGGTCACTGAGGCTGGACCATGGACCACCCAGCCTGCACACGCATGGTGAGAGCGCACCAGTAGGTGGCGCTGCTTCCCAAGGCTCAGCATGGGTCTCACCTGCATGCCAGAGGCTGTCCAGTGGGGCCGGTGGGGTTGGTGGAGCCACTAAGCCTAGGGAATTTCATCTTCCCGGCCCGCCTCCACGTCCAGCTTGGTAACTACCCTCTCTCAGAACCTCCAGTGACTCTCAAAGAGACACCAAACCCCCCAGGTCAGCCTCCTGCCACCCCCAGCCCAGGCGTCCGCCACCACCACCTGCATACCAAGCCACCAGCTGCTTTTCTGGCCCCAGTGCCTTTGCACATGCAGGGCGTCCTCTGCCTGCCCCCTTCAGGGTACGACTCAGATGTCCCCTCCTCCTGTGCGAAGCATCTCTGCCCCTGGCCAGGGTAGATAGGCTCCTTCCCCTGTCCTCCTCTTGTTCAGAGCGTGGCTATCACCTGACCCCTGCCCATACCCTCAGCAATCACTACCCAAAAGCTTACTGTGGGCAGTAGGCAGGATGCCCAGTGAACAAGGCCACTGTGGCTACAGTGTGCCCGGGCATGTGGCTGCAGCCCTCCTCCCACCACCACCACCCCCCCACACACACGTCCCTCACGCCATCCACACGTAAACGCAGGACCACACACAGGTGAGCGGTGGGAAGGCAGCCGTGTGCACACAGCAGCGGAGTTTGCAATTGACATGCAGTGAGATGGAAGGATCAAGGCAGCCTTTGGTGGGGTAATGCTCACCTGGGGTACACAGCACTGCCGTAAACCTGCAAGTTCCCCAGGTGATGGGGAGTCCCAGCTCTCTCCCTGTGGATGAGTTTTGTGTGTTCTGCTTTAATCTGTCCCATCTAAGATCCACTCATATCATTCAAGGCAATGGGACTTTATTCCTTGTTATGCCTGTGTAATGCCTGCTTATACAAACACACCGCACACCCACAACCTGCACATTTTCCTGTGGACAGATACTTGAATTGCCTCTGATTCTGTGCCACAGTGAACAAGAACACTACAGGGCCTGGCACAATGGCATAGCTGGCTAAATCCTCCCTTGCAAACCACTGGGATCCCAAATGGGCGCTAGGTTTATGTCCTGGCTGCTCCATTTCCCATCCAGCTCCCTGCTTGTGGCCTGGAAAAGCAACAGAGGATGGCCCACCCTGCACCTTTGTGGGAGACCTAGAGGAGGCGTCAGATCAGCTCAGCTCCGACCGTTGTGACCATCTGGAAAGTGAGCCAGCAGATGGAAGATCTTTTTTGTCTGTCCTCTCTGTAAACTTGCCTTTCCAATAAAAAAATAAATCTTTAAGAAATATATTGATATTACAAACACCCCTGCACAGGTCCTGGTGAGCACGATCCCTCCAGAGTGTACGGCCAGGAATGGACTTGATGCTAGATGATCCTACCAACCAGAAGTTAATGGGAAAACGTAGGATTTTTATTTTGATGGAAAAAATAGTTTGAAATCTGCACAGAGCTTTTTCATGCTGCACATTTCCGTGAACATGTTGGAAACCTCTCGTGGGTATGAGTTCCCCCATTCACACACAGACACACCCTGCAAAACAAAAAAAAAAGGCAGGGACAACGAACAGATCTCGTAATTCCATATTCCATGACTTGCTGCCAGCAAGTCCCACCACACCCACCCGTAGAAAGGGCTAGCCGTGGTGTGAGTGTGCGCGGGGGGCTCCACGACCCTGCAACGTGGCATGCTGCGGGTCACGTTCCCTGGAGCCCTTCCCAGCAGCAGGAAGCAGCCTTTAAGGTGCACGCTTTGATGCCTACTTTCATGTCTGTCACCAGGGTCTCGTCCCCTTGTGAGAAGCCTGGAGAATGGGCGGAAGAACAGGGACGCCCCTTGCTGGCTCCATGTGCCCATTTTCTACAGGGTAAAAGCAGCTCAGAAAAAGGAAGGGGGAACTTAGAGGAATCGCACTCCCTGATTAGCTGCGTGCCCCATCCTTCCCGCCTGCACTGCTGCCCCCGTATCACATAGACCAGCCAGGGATCTGCGCCCCACCCTGGGCTGCTGCCCACCTGCCCCTTCGTTGTATTTGGTGCATGTGGGGGAGCAGGGTGCTCTGATGGGTCGATGGGACAGCTCCTAGAGAACAGGCTGAGAAAGTTCTGGAATGGAGGCAGGGAGGCTGGGCTCAGCCTGTGGACACTGGGCTGTTTCTGAACCCACAGTGGCTGCCTGTTACCGTATGTGTGTGCTGTGCACTGCCCATATTTGCATATATGAAAATCAGCAGTTCCATCTCTCTTTGTGTAGAATGAACAATAAACAGATCTGATGTGGTTTTTCTGTGATTCAAAAGACAGCCTTGTGTACACTCTGGGAGACCACCCCCTACCCTGGGCACCGACGCAGCTATCCAGGGCTGTGGAGCAGAGAAATTCCTGGAAGCTGCTTTCAAGAAAGACCACCCCCCCCTGCCCTGCTTACCCCTGGCTCCCGGGGGACTACGAGAGAACCCTGGGAATCAGACAGAGATGGGAAGGGAGAAAGAACAGAGAGAAGGGCAGAGGTGGGTAAACGGCCCCACTTGACAGAGGGCAAAACTGAGGCCAGGGTTAGCACCCAGGCTACAAAGCAGCATAGCCCCTGGCCCGGGGGGCAGAAACTATGTTATCCGTTTGACAACCCCCTGAGAAGGGCCACGCCCCTGCAGCTGCGCCTGCCCCAGGACCCTCCCTCACAGGGGCCACGAAATCCTTGCAAGACCCTCCAAGGAACAGCTGTCCAAAGCCTGGGTGGGGGCTGGGACCTTGCCCTAGAACCTAGACCTTCACCCTACGTGAGTGTGAAGGGCGTCACAGCCAGCCCAGAGACCCTTGTGACCGAGCTGGGCACCCCCTCCCTGGCTGGGCACTACAGCCTCTGGGCCCCATTTCCTCACCAGGGACCCCCATGGGGAGCAACAGACTGGGAGGCAAGCGAGACAGGACGGAGACTCAACAGGAAACGGGAGTGGGGGCTTCGGAGACGCAGGCAGGAGGTTAGGCAGCCCTTGATTAATAGCAGCGGGGGGTCTGTGGGGAGGGACGGGGAGGGGTCCGGGTCCAGCCCCAGCCCGTGCTGGAGGCAGCAGGCGGGGGTCCCAGCCTCTGGCCAGAGCACAGATGG